ATAAAATGCTGAAACATATTCGAATAGGCCTATTTAAAAAAAAACAAAAAAAAAACTAAAATTTCATTTTCGGTAGTGGATGTTCTGCAGACGGATCGTCATTATTTACAAAATGTGCAGAGCAAATATAAGAATTTTTTGTATAGTTATAGAGTTTTTATGAATTAACCTAGTCTGTTGTAGCCATATTTTCTTCTCTGCATCTCTAGGAATTTTTTGGAGACTGATGACATGTCCAGTTTTACCTCTGAAATTGCTGCATATACAGCAGTAGTTCGTCTTCCGCGACCGATATCAAGAAACTGCGTTTTTGCTCGATTGTATGTCATAACATAATTTACTTACACGAACACATTTGGTGACAATTGAAGGCCTATTTCATTTGAATTAACGGCGTTTCTAGAAATTTATATTTGAAAAATAATTGATTCACTTTATAGCATGAAAACTTTGAATGAAATTCTAAATGAATAATTTAATCTCATGTGCTCATGTAACGAAGAAAGACTAATTAAAATAGCATATGGATCATATTCAACTGTTCAATATGGAACGCCGTCACTGCCTTATAGCAGAACACTAAAATTGCATTGTGTCAACTTTCTATTACATTATGTCCACACTTTGTGACATTTACTTACAGTGCTATTGCATTGAGTCAACTTTCCATTACATTATGTCAACTCTTTATGACATTTACACACTTTACTATTGCGTTATGTCAACTTTCCATTACATTATGTTAAGTCTTTATGACATTTACGCACACTTCTATTGCGTTATGTCATCTTTCCATTACATTATATCAACTCTTTATGACATTAACACACACTACTATTGAGTTATGTCAACTTTCCATTACATTATGTCAACTCCTTATGACATTTGCACACACTACTATAGCGTTATGTCAACTTTCTATTACATTATGTCAACTCTTTATGACATTTACACACACTACTATTGCGTTATGTCAACTTTCCATTACATTATGTAAACTCTTTAAAACATTTGCACACACTACCATTGCATTATGTCAACTTTCCATTACATTATGTCAACTCTTTATGACATTTACACACACTACTATAGCGTTATGTCAACTTTCCATTACATTATGTTAAGTCTTTAAGGCACTTAACTCGCACTTCAGTTACATTGCGCCAATCTTCCATTGCATTATATCAGCTCTTTAAGTCAAAACAATTTTATATACGTGGTGTAAAGATGTTTTTATATAATTTCAACTCATTATTACATTATGTGCACTCTCTACTATTTGGTATAAGTAGTTCATTACATGATGTGAATTTATCTTTAATTCAATATCAAGTTGCTATAACACGCTGTCAGAATTTCATTACATGATGTGAAAAAAATTGTCACATGTGGCCAATTCTTTACTATATGACGACAGGAATCTATTACATGATGTCAAGTTTCCCTTACTTTTTCACAAATCATTATTATGTTATGCCATTGTATCTTTACAATGTGTCTAAAATGCTTAGCCTCTTGTCAGTATATCTTAGAATATTTCAACAATTTCGTTTTGTGTTTTCAATATTACATGCACATGTCTATGGTAAACTTGCAAATAATTTAAATAAAACATATCAAATATTAAATTATACACAAGACTTAATTAATCCTTAATTAAATATCAGTTTAAATTCATAAATAGGATCATGTCCCCATGGAATCTTTATTGACGATTGTTTTTTTACCGTCGAAATTCAATGGCCGTTTAATCTCATATCATTATCTCCAATCAAATAGTATGTGTCATGCAGCAATATTTCTCTTTTTATTTTGAATTATTTTGAAAAGTCCAAAACTTCTGATCTAACTACAAAACACTGTCCTAAGTTTTTTATCAGTCTTTAACCCTCCTTTAAAAAAAAGTGTAAATACATCGTATTTCATACGTGCACTGGTTGGTCGGTGGGGAGAGGGGGGGGGGGATATCCCGCCCTCCCATCTTTAGTGACCAAAATATGCATGAATTTAATCAGTTGATTTTACTTTGTAGGACACTGCATTAGTTTTACATAAAGTATAACTGAAATAAGTTGAAACGTTTTATTTAAAAAAATCTAAAGCCTGAGAGCTTCCGGGCTTTCACCCCCTGGTCCCCACCTTAGACACCATATCGTCCCCCTATAGCTACTCTTTTCAAGAACCCAAGATCGCCACTGATATAAGCCCATGTTCAATTGATTAAAGCGAGGGACGTAGATTTTTGTAACAGAATTCTGGTCCAAGAATGGTTGAAAAATGACTAATTCCAGTGACGTTGCATCGTTTTTGAAAGTTGGGGGAGGTTTGTCAGCCAGAAAAAAAATAACGTTCAAGAAAAAGCAAAAAAAAATCCAAACTCGAAAATCCTATTTCAGGTGAAAGGTGGGGGGGGGGGTCCAACTTCGATCAGTCCTACTACATTACCCTTATACTTCATCAAAAAGTGGTGCTGAATTTCAATGAACATTTTCTGTGATCCAGTTATGTCGGAAAAAAGAGGAAGTCAGACCCCCCCCCCCCTTCATATAACGTGCCTGTAATTCGTCCTAATTAATCAGGACACCCCCCCCCCCTTTCCCAGTCGTGAAAACACGGTTATCAACTTTGACATAATGTAAATGTATTTCACAGGCTCAGCACGTAATGAATATTTGTAATCAACATGATAAAGAATTAACACAATGTAAAGATAGTTTTAAATCACATAAGAAAGAGTTAGCATATTCTTATTAAATATCCACATAAAGGAATGGAGTTTTGACATAACGTAATAAAGTGTTGATATAATATGGAACGCCAGGACTGTCTCCATAATTTATGTTCACATTATGTTATAAACCTTTTAACATCACGTTATAAAGCACTGACATAAAGGTAAGATGTATTCACCTCACGTTGTGATGACCTTGGCGTAAAATAAAGATACATTAACGTCACGTAATAATGCTTTGTTATAATAGAAATATAAACTCACGAAAGGAAATGGACTTTGACTTAATGTAATGATAAATTTAGTTATAGAACACATGTAAAACGAAATTAACTTGACGTAATGCAGTTTTGATCTCACATATTAAAGAAATGAAATAATATAAAGAAACATTCATTTTACGTAATAAAGTTTTAACACAATGTAAACATATTTTCACTTCACATAATGAACTTTGGTCTTCAAGTTATAAAGTGCCGACATAATGGAAGAATGTGTTTACTTCATGTAATGCATCATTGACATGATGTAAAGATGTTTTTACATCACCCCATAAAAGTTGACCTAATGTAAAGATATGTTCACATCACGTAATGATCGATTAACATAATGAATGCATAGTTTTATGCTATAAGGCAGTGATGGCGTTCCATAGTTCAACCCATTTACACACACGTTCTCTGTACACGCTGTACGCCTAGCTCCACCCCCACTTTTTTTCCCAACATTACTTTTATTATTAGAAAAATTCTTTGAAAGACAGCCCCCCCCCCGTTTATACTACGGTAAAGTTATATAGGAGTATTGTTTGCCAAGGAATTGGTACTGAAATAAGTAGCTTTTTTCGACTTTGGGCAAGGTTTTTTTTTTTTTGCTTGTCAACTTTTCCAGGTAAGTAAAAAAATATTTCTCTGGCTGCCCCCCCCCCCCCCCCCCCAATTTTAAAGACGATGCTACGTGCCTGGCTAATTCTTATCGCTATCTAGAAAGGGGGGCTAACAGATCCTTTATAAAATCGCTAATTATCTAAAAAAAAAAAATTCGCAGACCGTTTCCTTCTTTTAAATTTTTAAATGTAGCGTGTAAGTTGATCACTATTTTGTTGGATTATCGTAATGCGTAGTCCGCGGAAGTTATGCTAGTGTTGAAGAGTTCCGATTTCGAGGGGAGATAACTCACTTTTGAAAATGGGGAATATAATTGCATGTGATTTTGATAGAGCACTATAACAGATCGTGGAATCTCAAATATTTTTGTGACATTGTCGAAGTTCAATGCCAAAATATGTACATTAACAACTCTTTGTTAATGAAAATAAAACAGTACCTTTTCCTGCATATACAAGCTATATCTACATGTATTTATAAATGTACAGCTTATTTATAAAATCATCGCAAACCTGAGGCAAAAATTTTTCATACGATCCTCTTCCATTCTGAAAAATAGCTTTACCGTACTGTGGCTTGAGACGATGACAGACTACACTGTATCATTCCGATAACAGCGTACATCTGTATGTACATGTTAGATACAGGGGTCTTCGCCTTTTATGCAATTTATCCCACGATTTCAACTATTGTTGATGCCCTGTCATACTCTACTGAATAGACAGTGATTACTTAAGAACATACACAAGGTACTTTTAAGATATTCTAAATTTAAACTTATAATACCATTACATGTTCTTAGACAAAAAATCAGCATGCGTTACCAGGGGTTTTGAAAAGATATCAAATTTTGAAAAAAATTATATTATTCAAAGAAAAATGTACAAAAATTACAAAACATAAATTCCAGATTTTTTTCATCAAAAATTGTTTTAGAAGAGGTGTACAAATCCATATATAGACATTAAAAATATTGCACACAGGTCCTTCATTTAGTGGAACTCTTCGTCTCCAGAGAAGAACCCAATAAAGTTCAAACTACGTTGCGTATGACCTTAAGTCAACCTCTAAGGTCAAGGTCAAAATTATTAGTATTTTTCACAAGAAATACAATCGTGAAATATGAAAGCCCTGGTGATTACTGTTCAAAAGTTATGTCCAAGGTTAAAGTTTTTAAAAAGTGTGTCAAATTCTTAGGTCAAAATCGAAGGGTCAAAATTGTGGTACTGATTTTGTCATAAGAAATACACATGTGAAACATGAAATATTTAAGCCTTTTGAAGAGGCAGCAAAATGCAACTGATTTTATTTTAAACATTAAATTAAATTAAGTGATGATTATTACCGGTATACAATAAATCATAAAAGACAAAAAATCGAAGAAGAAAAAAATGAAAATCATACAACATTTATTTCAAAATAAAATAAAGATAACAGTTATAGTAGTGTTATACCTTTAAAAATTTGTTCCTATACATATCTATACGACAAAAAGCTTAACATTTCTAATGTTTTACCCAGCGGTCATTAAAAAATCGATGTTTGACTGCTGAGTGAGATGTTGGACCTGTCGATGAGATGTTTGATCGCTAACGTCACACAAATACAATAGGCGGGATCAGCTAATTCCCATTTGCATTCGTTGATGTTCGACAGTGAAAGAATTAACCGACTTTAATCACAGGTAACATCACGGAAGATAATTGCAATACAAGATTAATACATACCAAAAACAATAAATAAAATATAAGGTACATGTACAACAAAACATTTATTGACTGTGTTCTCAGGCAAGTTGAGTTTTGTCGACCCTCGAACCAAACTGTTTGGTTCTTGGGTCCGACATAACACACGTTTCGAATCCACTCAATAAATGTAATGCTACATTATAAATTAAAATCATATTGTTTTCCAATCCACATCAAACGGATGTTGAATACTGGTATCATAATTATGTTAACTTGTTCGCGCAATAAAGGGTTCAATGTTTATTTTCAAAACTTTTGGACAGATTTTTTTTCTGTTTAAGTTTATATTGTCAGAATCCTGTCTCTGAAATAACTGATGACTCTGGCATTTAAATTATTGTCTTCATAACATCCATAAAGCACCTTTTGCATTTCCGGAAAACCGTATTTTGCCGCCTCAACAAGTCTTGTGTTTTCCTTTTCAAATAAATTATACTTGACGCGAATTTTTGTGAAGTGTGAATCCGGAAAAATTTTACCAAGATTTTCATTTCCAAGGAAAAAATCTGGTAAGCACTTCTTTTCAAATGATAAGTTTATAAATGTCAAAAAGTAGCCCAACGCCTCACGGACACCTGCAATATGGAAGCCAGAAGGCACAATGACGGTAGGAATTGTCAGCAGAAGGATACAATACATGGCAATCGTTTTTAAATGATATGATGTCAGTAGAACGGCGGCTTGGTTTTGTCGCTCCTTTAGCCTTTTTACCAAGGCTTTCATTATGCGGCATGACGCCATGATATAACGCCGCTCTCTGTTCATAAAACAGAGATCAAACATGAATTTTTCATAGGCAGATGAGCAATTTCGCCATCTTAATTCTTTGTCTTTTTCACAGATATCGGCGTTCTCTTTATTTATCCATTTCATGAGCCCGAATCTTGGAAAGTTAATTGCTTTGTCATGAGAGGATGAAATAATTGCTCCGGGAATTGAAATTGTTTCACTGTCCAACACAAGCGCTGGAACAAAGTCGACAAAAACCGTGTCCTGGAACTCAACTTGGACTGTCAAATCCATTGTAGGTGGTCTGGATCCTCTTGTAACATAATATACGTTGGATGGTCTACCTCCTACACGTTTTGTATTTGACGGGGATAGTTCATCTAATGCTTTATCCATTAGAGATTTAAACACCTGCTCTTGAAGAGCCTTAGTGTTGAGGAAACGTGTGCCATTAACCATTTCAAAAACTCCTTCCCTCTGCAGTTTTGGGAGCATATCGATTTGCTCATCATTCATGACCCGGAGACGTATTTGTCCTGGTAGATATTGACCAGCCGTGTCCCACAAACGAACTTCTTGTAGACGAAGCCCTTCAATTTTAAAAGGAACGATGACATCAAACTCGTCAGGAGATTCGATTTTCAATCCCTGCCTTGCACTTCCTTGTCGTATGAAATTTCGATCTATTGTCAAACCTTCGAAATTCTTTTCGGCCTGTTTTTGAAGTTCTGTAAGAATTATTCTTAAAACATCATCTGCGACGAAGCAAGCTTTTTCCCAAAGATACCGAGTGAAGTCTATTGGAATGGAAATCTTCTCCTGAATTTGATATCTTAAAGAAACTTCATGGGTAGGAAATAAATCGTCTGGAAAACGCCATGTATTCGCAAACAGTTCTTCTGCCGCCATGATCGTATAAAGAATTATCCCATAAACAAGCTGTACCTGGAAAAGAATGTGAAAGTAAAATTTAATGAACAATACATTTTTAGAAAATTTGAAACGTACATTAGATGAATCCGATCGATAATTCAAAGTCAATATCCATACGTCATGTACATAGGTATCCAAATACTGAAATCTTGATATACATGTACGATATCAAGGTTAAATTTTTTCAATGGTATGGTTGTAAATTCAACTAGTAAAGTATTGCATGTATTTTAAAAATAAGATCACAAAGCAGGGGGCCAATTTGCAAGACATATTTTTTTGTCTATTTTTCGGTGTCTAAAGATTATTTAAAGTCCTTTATTATTTTTTTCTTAGTCATACACATGTATACGATTACACTGTATATGCATAAAATTCTTCTTGCAAACTTTGTGTTAGATTATAGTATCCGGCAATAATATTTTTATGCGCCCGGATCGATAGATCGGGGCGTATATTGTTTTTGTCCTGTCAGTCGGTCTGTCTGTTTGTCTGTCTGTTGTTAAATTACTCATCAAAATGTTTTGAAAGTAAATTTTTACCCTTGCTAGAAATCAACAAAATGATTAAACATGTTAAACCCAGGTTAAAAAAATAAGTCAAAATGCATAGGCGTCGGAAGCAAATTGAAAGTGCCCCCACAAATTGAAAGTGGGGCTAAACCAACAAAATAAGGTAAACCTTACATCGCTATTTTCAATGCCTATATTGTGTATATATTTGCAAAAAAGGGGGCTAAGCCCCCGCCCCCGCCCCCCCCCCCCCTTCCCGGTTTCGATACCTATGAAATGGGCAAAACCAACCATTTTCAATTTCAAATAAAACGTCAGGTCTAGATTCATTCATTGAATGCATGGTCATTTATGAATTTTACCTGATGCTGCCATTTGTTTTACTTATTTACAGAGTAAGAAGACACGAAAGTTATAAGAAAACTGACGCTGGAGGCTGCCATATTGATCGAGAGATAAATTGATCTCGCTTGCTAAATATTTCCCACAATCCTCACTTTTATGACGTCTTCTATGTTTGGAATCAGAAGAATATACAAGTTTTTTTTTTTTTTTAAATTCTAAATTTCCGGCTGATGCCTGTCAGTGACATTACCAATATACTGGTTTTACCTCTTTCTACAAATCGGCAAGTGATGATGCTACTCGGTATTAGCAGTTCTCAGTGGGGATCTGGCTATAAGTGTAAACATAAACATCATGTCGGAATCAAGTCGTGAAAAATGTGCCAAAGAAGTGCTTGCGATTTCATTTTGAATTTGAATGTACATGTAATCAAGGAAATATAATTATATAATTTCACATGCTTATGATTCTACTGCTTCAGAATTCCGGAAAATAAAAGAAGGAATTAAGGATCCTCCACACCATGTGACTTGTGACGTATATAGAGAAAAAATACTTTTACTTCCGGTTTTATATAGTTTTTGGATCAGCGAATTGCCTGGAAACCGCTTGTGAGAGAGTCTTCGAAAGAGAAAGTATTATCATTTTACTAACAGCGTGACTGTTTGCTTGATAGGGCGTGCTAAAATTTTGTGCGCTGATTATCATTTTACTCATCGATTGGATGTTTGATTTCAATGGAATCAATAATAATTTGCATATGAAACACAGAACACAGCAATACCACTGACAATACTGACTAATCGCGTTGAATAAACAACAATTACATGTGAATGGACAAAGCAAGTTTTACTCCCTATGATGATATTGATAGACTAAGAGCTACGTACATAGTACAAAAAGAAGCAGAGTAGCCTTACTAATTCCATTCTTTAAATTTTCTTATACGTATTCAAAAACCCATCCGGTCAAATCACAACAAATACACCGTATACAACCGGTAACGCGGAGGAGTCGCTAAAAAGTAAGAGGGAATCGTTTCCAACGTATGGGGGAGTCGATTTTCACCGCTTCGGAGTCAGAAGAGATGTGGGTCACGTCTTTTTTCGGTATATGTAAGATGAATTTACAAAAAACAACTAGCCCACGGAAGGTAGCAATAGTTAAGCTTTCAGTTGGTCATTTGTCCGGCTAGCATACACGTCTAGTTTTCTCAAACACTTCGAAACTATTCGACAGATTTCATATTTACGTTGATCGAGTGGTTAAAACATGCATAGTTTGCAAATCTACGACTTGTGTAGGGATTATGACAGTTAACACAGCAAAAGCAGACGTTAGTCTTTCATTTGCAACTATTCAAACTTGGCTAGACTTTATAAAAATTCATAATTGAGACATTTTTTCTTCAGACAGTAAAAGTTACGTAGGGGGGAGGCGTTTCTGGAAAAACACAACGCATAGGGGAGTCGCAAAATAAAGTGAAATGCTTACCTAAACTGGAGCTGTTTTTTGTTCAAGAAAATATCAGCAATATACATGTACAATTGGATTATATATCTTTGGAGCACATGTGCTTGGGGACAAGACCCTTCCTTAGCTCAGTATGTAATTTTCATCACAAAAATTCAAAAAGATCACGAACCCTCACTTTCAACAATGACAGCCTCTCATAAAAAAAGAACGAGAAGATTTATAAAATGGAAAATTTCTTAATAATAATATCAACAATTTTTTTTATTAGAAAAGTGGAAATTCCCGCCCATTGCCTTCTTTTTTCTCGGGGGGGGGGGGGGGTAGAACTTTTAAACTGGTTTATTCTTTCAATTTGGTCGACATGTAAATATTTTTTTTATTTTTTATTTATCATATAAAATAACACATCTTCAGGCACAAACGATGTATCTTAAATGAGAATACTTGGGATGATCTGGGGTTTACACAGTCAGTACTACATGTACACATTCATAGACAGAGTTCAAGGGCAACATACGTTTTTTTCGGACCGAAGAACCAAACTGTTTGCCCGAGGTTGTTAGGCCGAAGGCAAAACGTTTTGTTTGAGGGGTCGATAAAAAGCATTTTTGTCCGAGAACAATCGATAAATGATTTGTTATATTGTTTATAATGATATTGCCATGATGAAATTTTGTTCACGCGCACTGCAGTTTAAACTTGGTCAATTCCATCAGATTCTGACATTGACCACGCCCACACTGTGAAGTAAGCGGTGCAATATCTCATCAACAGGTCCAACAGCCCACTACACTGTCAAGCAGCGATTTATTTGACCGCTCAGGAAAACAGTAGTAAGGCTGTATTTTTTTTAGCTATAGTTTTTTTTTACAATAACAATTTTTCATAAGTATGAAAAAAAAGAATTATAAACAACTTATCTGAAAAATTTTGACAAGCAAAAAAAGGTTGGTAGAAGAATGTTACAACAGAGTTTCTCAACCAAATTTTATTTAACACATTTGCAAATAAAACTATGATTTAACTATTCTGCAACAAAACGTTTGAAGACCTTTCATACTATGTGACTGTTTCGTGAAATGTATTTCAGAATTGTTATTATAGGTAAGGGCAGGGTCTGAAGTTCTAATTATAATAAGAGCTATAAAAATTCACAGAGAAAAATATTAAAATAGCATGCCTACATGTATACTCTTTAGAAGAGTTTGATGTTATATGTGAAGGAAATTGGCAAAGCTGAATTCCCCTTTCCTTCACCCCCTCCATACTTGTAGTTATTGTTTTCTTCGACATTAACTGCCTAACGGTATTTATTTCCGTGCAGAAACCATATCAAATGTACATGTAGTAATGTATATGAAGTACTGGTACATGTATATACTAACTCAAAATAAGAAACGATAAATACATGTTTATACATGTACATATTGCTTATATTGATCTTTATTAATGTTACATTTTACTAATATTATAAAATTATCAAAATAATTATGCAAGGAAGCATTAAGCAAAAGAAAAGTCGAAATTTAAAATAATAGTATAATTCAATTGTGCGACTCCCCTATGCGTTGTGTTTTTCCAGAAACGACTCCCCCCTACGTAATCATTGCTGTCTGAAGAGAAAATGCCTTAATTATTAATTTTTATAAAGTCTAGTCAATTTTGAATAGTTCTAGATGAAAGATTAACGTTTGCTTTTGCTGTTTTAACTGTCATAATCCCTACACAAGTCGTAGATTATGCAAACTATGCATGTTTTAACCACTCGATCAACGTAAATATGAAATCTGTCGAATAGTTTCGAAGTGTTTGAGAAAACTAGACTACCTTCCGTGGGCTAGTTGTTTTTTGTAAGTACATCTTACATATACCGAAAAAAGACGTGACCCACATCTCTTCTGACTCCGAAGCGGTGAAAATCGACTCCCCCATACGTTGAAAACGACTCCCCCTTACTTTTTAGCGACTCCCCCGCGTTACCCGTTGTATACGGTGAAATATAATACATGCTTTTATGAGGACAGAAAACGGCCCTTGACTGACCACGTGTTGCTCCTGACTACAAATGCCGTACTGGGAAACAATCATTCAATGCGATTGACCAGTATTATCAGGGTATTGTTGTATTCCGAGTTTCATATGCAAATTAATATTGATTTCATTGATCCAATCGATGAGTAAAATGATAACCAGCACACAAAATTTTAGCACGGCCCATCAACACCCCTACTAATGTTATTGTGATTTAAATTCAAGACACGTGGTTTAGATTTACCTATTCAAAGGTTATAGGGTAGATCCGGTTTTATAAATAAAATTGGCAGTAAACAGGAAATTGCTATAGTCTGTTTCTTCTGAAACATGTCCTGTGAAAAATGTGTGTTTGCACACCTTTCTGAAAGACTTTCATGATTTTCAACAGAAATGGATGGCTTAAGGGGGGGGGGGGTGGTAAATAACAATTAATACATCTTATACTTAACTGCAAAAATTACAGCTCACTAGCGACCGAGATGCTTGTAAAAAAATGTATAATATCATTTACACTGACAAACCTTTGTTTGCCTTATATGGCTATTGCTATTAATGCGCACAGAGGATCTTACCACGAGCAACGCCAAATACATGTTTACATGCTACTTCGAACACGTGGTTCAGGTCAAT